AGGCGCGGGCGGGGGGCACGGGCGGGCGGGTCGAGGGCGGGAGCGAGGGGGGGGCGGGGTGGTGTGAGTGGGTCGGGCGGGGGCGGTCGGGGCGGGGCGGGCCCGGGTCGCGTGGTAGTGTCTGGCGCATCGTCGGCGGAGGTGGGAGGAGTGGCGAGGAGGCGTCGTTTGCGAGAAGTTAAAGGGCGGGTTTACGGCCAGGTGTAGATCCGGAAGGAAGGCGGTTGGTGGGTGCGAGAGGAAGAAGGGGCGTAAATTAGGCGGGCCGTGCGCTGAAAGCGAACGCGGGAGGAAGGCGGCCGTAAGAGTGAGGCGAGGGGCGTGGGAGAAGGGGACGGGGCAGTTCCGAGTTCCCAGCGGTGTGACGGAGGAGGAGCGTCTGTGTAGGTAATGCGGAGGAAGAATGGACGGAGCGGGATATCACAGGAGGAATGGGACGGACGGGTCGTGGCGATGGGCCGGAGCGGGATCTTTAAGAGGTCTTTTTCGTGGTAGGTCGGGAGGAGGGTAGTCGGGAAGGGAAGACGTGGCGAGGTTGATAAGAGAGGGAAGCCGAGGAATCTCAATGTAGGGCGAGTAGTTCGGGCTAGTGCAGCGTAGCTAGAAGCGAGGTAGTTGGAGCGTGGTAGCCGGGAGCCGTGTTAATCGGGTCGGAGTTAGTCAGGACGATTTATTCGGGACGAATGGTAGTCGCAGGCGTTTTTCGGTAGTGGGGCGGAGTCTTTGGGAACTGTATTAGTGGGCTTGATGTTAGGAGAGAGTGGTGGTCGGGGTGTGGTGGTCGGGGTGAGTGTGGTGGGTGTGGTAGTCGGGGAGTGGGTAGATCGGTGGCGATGGTAAGTCGGGTCCTGATTAGTGCGGAGCCGGTATCCGGGCGGGTTTTTTTCGGCGCGTAGTAGTAGGTGGCGTGATACGTCAGGGCATTGAGTATGCGTGCAGGTGGTTCCGACTGGAGTGATGGCGGTGATGGGTTGCAGTGTGCGGCAGCGGAAGAGGTCGATTGGGCTTCGCGCAGGCTGCGCGCATCGCGGGCGAGTGAACACGCGCGGGGCCAAAGGGCTTGGCTCGCGTGCCGTGCGGGCCGGCGATGAACCGGCACGGCGCGTGGGCGGCGGGGAGGGAGAGGGCGAGAGGCGGGCGCATAAACGCTGCGCGAGAATAAGGAAGCATGGGTTTTTCACGCCCCCCTAATGCGGTACTTTTAGTTAGTTTTTTTCTGGGGGCGAAATTTTATCATTAGTGTTGGATTGTTATGTTTTGTTTGGGCCTGAGGGTTCTATTGCTTGTTGTTTGTGGGGGTGGGTAATTTTTTTTTTTTTCATTTTTGTTTTTTTTTTGGTCGCGGGTGGGTTTTCTTGCTTGAAGGTGTCCGTTTTGGCTTAGACTATATTTTTTTATTGTTATTATTTCTAATAAAATCCTCATATACTCCCTATTTCAAAAGCGTTTCTTTGTAAAACCCGATCTGAAAAAAATATAAATAAAAAAAAAACTGTGATAAATGTAGTTCCTCTCTTTTTATTTTTTTTTTTTTTTAAATTTAAATTTTAAATATTATAAAAAAATTTTTTTATAAAATTTTTTTAATAATTATGAAAAAAATAAAAAAATTAAATAATCATTATCTGGGGGTTTTTCATTTTACTCTAATACATTCTCCCCACATCATAAAGTATTGTCATCGTTTCTGGTGCGAGATGAGTTTAGTTTTTAGCCTCACACCTTCCCATTCACATTTCAATCAATCATATCTACAAACATCATTCTCATGTTTCAAATACAACACACTAATATTTTGTTCTATAATGTCGTCCACTCAAGTCACATCTAAGACACAAAACAATAATAAAATATACACCAATAAAATTTCACTCTATATAATTATTCGTTCTTTTCAAATCAAATCAACTTCATCATCGACGGTTTATTTTATTGGCCTTTTAAGCTGATCAAAACAATTTCCAATCCTATCTAAACTCGACGCCTAATCAACATATTCCATTCATTCAGAGTTTCAAAACAAAAAAATGTTCTATTTTAGGATGTTGGTAAGTTGATAATTTGGATGTTTTTTCAAAGACTAATACAATTTATTCTCAATTTGAGTGTTTCGTATCATAAGAATAATCAAAACCCACTAACATCACTCTTTATCAACAAAATCACATCAAATTCACAGAGTTCTTAACACATCAAAAATTCCCGTATTGACTCACAAATCAAAAATCAAGTCAACAGATACTTAAATTATCCCTAAAGGAAACCCTAATTCCCACAACATCATTGCTCAATCACATTTCAACACTCAATCTCAGGATCACCAATATACAAAACCACCAACAGATCAGTCACAATCATCCACACAGAAGTCAAATCACCCAATAATATACAACACACACCCAGTTTTAACAACAAAATCCAAACAATCATCACTCAATATACTATACTGGTACAGTTTTTTAGTTAAGAGCATTCAATCAAAGAAAGCCATCATCAGACCCCCAGTTCAACATCACAGATATCCTCATATCCAAATCCAATCACTCACCTAGTAAACCATCCCGCAAGAATTATCAATCATCACCAATACACACAACATTACACCATATCCCACCACAACACACATAAAAAACCTAAGTCGGGCCTTTAAACATCAAAACGAGTTATTCTGCATAGGGCTATGACTAGGGATTTTACTTGTACTTATATATTAAGTAGATATGTTTTTGAATATTATTTTAACACGAGGTAATTAATATTTGTTTATCATAGAACAAATCCCCATTATTTTATTTATCATAATGTTTCACTGCGTACTTGTTCACTGGCCATTGTTTTATATTTGATTAGGGTTTGCACCTTTTGCACAAACATGAGATTTATAGATCGTTTTAATCAAATCCAAAAATCATCATACGTACGTTTCTATTATGCATAACAAAACGACATACACAACCAAGAACGTTCCACCAAAAAAAATCAACTAGTTTAATATCTTTGTCAGCCGATTAACATCAACACAACAATCTATAGTAGCTTTAATTCCCAAGAATACGGTTCATCATAAAATCACATACTACATTAAACTGCGCGTTTCCTATTGAGTTTAGTTATCTACTTCGGCGATTTTCGGCTACACTGAAAGATTTACTTGTGATAAGTTTCTAATAAAGTTATATTAAATTCTAACTTACCTCATAGATTTATTTTACTCCACTTCGTAGTTATTTTATGTATACTGTTGTCAGCTTCTCTCCGTTATAACATCTAATGTATACGTGTTAATCGTGTACTCTTTCACTACAGTAATCACATAAGTGATAACGTGTGATTATAAGTGTACTAATCAACTCTTTTCTGATAGTCTATTGGAGTTACTTAGAATATTCTTTCATCACGAGATGGTGGTAACATTGTATCACCTATATAATGATGTAGTGTTTTATTCTATTATGATTATATTATTGTAATTCGAGATACCCCACCCCGCCCCCGCGGCCGTAAAGCCCCACGCCATGTGTCGCCACGCCCCGTCCGCGACCGCCCTGGCGCCCCCTCAACTCCTCACACCCTCCCCCACTCCCCTGTCGTCATGGCCCCGTGCCTCGACAGCAGCTGCATCCGCTTGCAGTGTTTGCAGTGTAGCTCCGACGCGGCAAAAACGCACCACAGATCGACTGTTGCGGAATTCCAGATTTATGGGCAGCAGCGGGCGACTTGTGGGGCAAAGACATAAAACGGTTCACGAGGAAATATCGGTTCCTTCTTTTTCGTCGGCGGTACAACGCACATCACTGCCTCCTCCTGCGCTGACTTGGTGATTTGCATTACTGCATAGAAGTCGTGATTTTTAATGCAAACCGTATTTAATGCAGAAATTAATATTTGTTTACTCGCAGAGTTATTTACTTGCGTCAAAACGGGGAATGTATAATTTATATGCCAAGGAAAGTTTAAAATAGGCCAAAATTATATTAAAAGTATTCTATATTAAACATAGTATTATACTACTAAGTTAAATATTATTATAATATGGAGAATGATAGTATAATTGAAAATAAAAGTATTATAGTATACAGCACTGTTATTCAAAA